TTGAGGCCGAGATACGAGCGTACTGAATCGCCTCCGCTCCTTCCAGTGATACTGTTACTGTCGCGTCTCCTTCCTGTGTAAATCTCTTTGGGGGAAAATGAGCTGGGTACCTGCAACGGCACTCCGACGCTCAAGTCAGAAAAGGGTTATGGAGCCTCAGCTCTCAAGAGAGTGATTATAATATCACCCTAGAATATCATCTAGAGTCTCTAGAACGTAGAGGGAACGTACTTGGACTTTTGCCCTGTCATTGTATTTATAGGCCAATAAAAATAACCTTACCTAAAAATGTGGTTAGTTACTCATAAATATCTTAACTGCTTAAAATATCTAAGATATTTTATCCAATAAATATCTTACTATACATAATGTCCCCCAAGTCCGAGTTAACTGTTCTGTTTTATGTACGGGTAACTATAGGACTTATGAGTTTGAGGGAGACTGTATTCGCTGTGTTAGAGAGCGTGTTTCTGGTCGTTGCTCATCTGTGACGGGGGGTTTTATGGGTTTTCTCTTTGCCCTAGGCCGAGCAGTTGAACTTTTTAACACCTGAGGCCAAGGATGACCGAGCGGTTGTAGTCGAAGGACCAAAAAGATGAGAGGCCGAACGGCCAAAAGTTGGAACGTTTGAGGCCGCGAAGGCCGAATGATTAACGATTGAATATTTGAACACGTGAGCCCATGTATGGACGAGCGGTAGATGATGTGTGGCCGAACGTCAGTGAGGCTGAATGCTGGAACGCTTGAGGCCACGGATGGCCGAGCGGTAGAGGCCGAGTTGCTGCCAGGTTCATAATAGGGAGACTGACTCTATGTTTGTGTGGGCTAGGTGTTCTTGGGCGAATGTAACCTAGACTAAGGGAAGATCCCATAGATTTAATTTTTTGGGTGGCTCCGACCTTGCCAGTGGTGTGCACGATTGGGTTAATTGATGAAGGCATGGGTATCTAACCCTTAAAAATAGGGTTCGTGAGAAATGATTTCGTGAGTCACTGTCACGGAAGTTGAATTGCTCGTCGTAGGGGTTGCCATTGTAAATGCGAAAATCGTGGTTATTGGCGAAGACGCAAACCTGGGCGTGGCGGATGACACGAAGACTGTACTGGACGGTGCTGGAGGGTGACGTGAGGCTGGACCGGATGAAAAACCTCCACAACAGAGAATTAATCATCTCATCAGAGATTCACTCGCCAACACTAAGTTGTCGATCATGTTGGTGATTAAGCAGTGGTGTCTGGAGTTTGACGTTTGGGGAATAGAAATTGGGTTGGATGTCGTGAGTGCTGCGGAAGACGCGGAGGATGGGTCGGACAATGCGGCGGACTTGGAGGCGTCGAAAGGGTATGTCTCTGGGTGACAACCGTCTTCTCCCTAAGAAATGGGGATGCAACTGATAAGGGCATCCAGGGTATTTCCTCAAACTGCAGATTGACTTTTGTTATGAGCTCTGTTTTGGTCACCGAGGAGGTACCAGGGTGACTTGAAATGCTGAGAAGCATCATGAACTTGTTGATGAAACTTCATGTAGAGATGATGACTTTTTTGCTGTAGTTTTTGCCTTGCTGTAGATTCTTGATGTTGATCCTAAATAACGATGTCGAGACCGAGCGCTCGTCTTGGCTCCTTGCAGTATCAATGGGATGACGCTCGGCCCCACGGTGGGCGCCAAAATGTTTCGGTAGAATAGTTGAGGCCGAGATACGAGCGTACTGAATCGCCTCCGCTCCTTCCAGTGATACTGTTACTGTCGCGTCTCCTTCCTGTGTANCGGTTCAAATCGAAGCTTGGGACGCCGGGAGTGCTTCTATGGTCTCTGAATGATGATCGGAGAAGAAAAAGAGTGAGTTTTGGTAGAGAGAAGGGAGGGTTTTCTAGAGAGAAGATGAAGAGGAGGTAGAGAGAAGGAGGAGAAAATGGGATTCTTCAGAAATCTGGAAAGAGGGTGCATGCAGAGAGTAGAGTGTTTTTTTGAAAATCCAAGTTTTGCTTCCCACTCAAAAACGAACGTCCCATCTTCTGTTGACACCTGTTTTCCACTAACTGATCTTCGGATCCTCTTCGCATGACACCTGGCGTTCGTCATCTGAGTGTCGAGCTCTCCTCTTGACACGTGAATTCCACTAAACAAATATGTGTGTGAATTTTACTGGTTTCTGACTTTTGATTTTACTGGTTCTGACATTCTCCCTAACTACAAAAATTTTGGTCCTCGAAAATTAAGGCATACTAAAGAATAGACGGGAGTACTTGTCCCTGCTTGCAAATCTTCAACTTCCCTCGTAATGTCGTCATTCTTCTCGTTCCAGACCACTTTCGCTAATATGATGACTTGCATCTTGTAGTACTTGGTGTGACTATCTTCAATACGAACGGGTGGCATCTCTATCGTTCGGTCTTCCATGAATACGAACGTCTTTTAGTTATAGTACATGCGACGAGTCTCCAATATACTTCCGGAGTTAGAATACGTGGAAAACGGGGTGAAGGTTGGAAAGTTGAGGAGGCAAGGCTATCTCGTACGCTACCGCCCCAATACGTCTCAGCATCTGGTACGGTCCAATGAATTTAGGTGACAGCTTCCTAGGACGAACGACTCTGTCCACACGCATGTTTTTACAATTTCTTAAATGTTTACCAGTTCCAACTATAACGAACGGTTACAATTGAGTAAGGGCTAGATGATTAAAAGAAGGGAGTAAACTACAGAAGAATCTGAAATAAGTAAACGGTTGATAACTATAACAAGATAATGGCCTTGAAAGGTGAACCGATCGGAAACATAAATACCGAACGAGAAAATTTCTATTAGGAAGAGTCACAAGTCTTCCAAGAGGAAGGAATTTATATGGGAGTTTTGTTACTATTGGATTCGAGTGTGAAACAGAGAAACAAAAGAAACAGAGTAACAGAGGAGAGAAAATACAGAAAGAATGATCTGATTATCACGAAATAGAATTATTATTAAAAATCAAGACGAGTTACAATATATATATATATATATATATGTATATATATATATATAGATAATCCAAATGAAAAATAAATAACGAACGCTAGAGAACGAACGAAACCGAGCAGTCAAAAGACTCGAACGTTCGTTCATAACCGAAGGCTTAGAAGAAAGAGAAGTTTTGGCCACAAATGATCAGACGAAAACCGAACGATTACTCACAAGGAACTAAATGAATAAAATTAAAAACTGAGTCTAACTGACAGTTACTCTGACCCCAAATCGATTCAAAGCGCGCGTACGTCCAGGTCTTCATATTTTTGGGTTGTCCTACCCGTCTGGACGTTCGTCTGGAGTAGTAAGTTGAACAACATTTTCAACGGTTTGCCTAACCTACTCTTAGATGATTACACAGAATCGAGAGATGTAGTGAAAATCTCTACCTAAATTGCTACTAGATTGTATTCTAAGCAATCAAACCACTATCTACTTCCAACTGAGACTCCTAATAACGTTCGTATCCTCACTTGTAATATTAAGTCTCTGAAACTCTCAACTAAACCCGACTCTCTGTTTATCACTGCTTGCACACGCCCTAGTACTTATACTTTACCAAACGTGTATTATTACCGTTCATTTACTTTCTTGCTACCGAACACTCTAATTTAAATGATACCAAACGCCGACATCCCATTCACGTGAAGTATCTCTTAAGTTAGTCAATTCTAGATAATAGCACTCTCAGTAACATAGTAATAAACATCTATCTTACGGTTCGGATATCCTAACTAACCCAATTGTTGGTGTTTACACCACCAAATCAAACAGCTTCCTTCTCATCACAGTTAAAACGACGCACAACAAGGCAGTTCATACCATAAGCAAGTGCTGGTGAGAAATGTACCTGATCTCGTTGCCTCAACACCCGTTATGGCATAGACGCGTCCAACTACTTGTGCTCGGCCACCTCTTCCTTGTTGACCTCTTCCCGTATTTGGTGGCCTCAACCCTACTCGTCCACCCATGTTGCACTCGTTCTTCACATGATCGCTTCCCCTACAGCGGGTGCAATATTTTGCTACCATCAGTTGAGGACACGACGACCGATAGTGGGGTCCCCCACACTGAAAACACTTCACCACTCCCTGCTGCCCAGACGGTNTTGGTGATGACAACCTCCGCAATGCTCATTGCATCAAAACCCAAAAGCCTTTGATTCTTACAAAAGCTAAAAATGTACTTTTTTTCTGTTATTTTGGGAGCGATTTTGTTAAGGCTGGTGTAGTTGTTGTTACAGTGCTTGCTTCACTCCTTGGTTGCTTTCAGGGATTGGAAGAGATAAGAAATAGTAGAGCATTGGTGCCACTTCTTATTGATCTTCCGAGATTTGGTTCGGTGAAAGGGAAAGCAAATCCAAATGCATACCGAAAAAATAAAAAAATAAAAATACGCTATTGCCTCGGTTATCTAAGAACCAAGGCATAATCCTATCTCGTCTTAAACTGGTTCAGAACCGAGGCATAAAGCCACCCCTTTTTACCTCGTCTGTATATGTCTCGGTTGCAGAACCGATGCCTAAGCAAAATTAAACATGTCATTACTCCTTACTGCACTAGTGTATAAATTAAAATTAATTTATGTATAAGTTAATTCTCACATTAACGTCTAAAAAAATAAATTTTTATTTATGAACTAATTTTATTTTACAAAAAAATCATTTCACTTTTTTCTCATCTTTATATATAAATCCTTACAAGAACATTTATCCAAACACACATCTTTATAATATAAATTTACTAAATGGTAATGATAATAGCAGTAAAATTATAATTAAATTATCTTACAAAGTATATGTTCGTCCTAGTATGATTACTATATCCAGTTTAAATTCTTTTAATTAATTTCGCCTATGCATAAATGGAAAGATGCAACTAATTCATGGCTTAAGCTTTGATTATTTTATTGATAGCTGCAATAACAACGTTTACAAGTTAAAAACCAAAGCATATTGATTTAGTGATAAGCACATGACTTTTCAGGCACCGGTGCATCATGCACTTGCTTTGAATCTTTCCCCGAATTTCTTAAACTTAACCACCAAGCGATTTTCGTCACTCTTACTCACCACCAAACGCCTGTTTTCTCCATCATCGACCTCAACCGCAAGGTAGCTGCATTTACGAGGACGAGGGCCCGAGGGACAGAACAAGAGGTTGTAGCCCAGAAAGTAACCCGGAACGCTCCGAATTTGAAATAAACCCGATACAGTGTTGTCGTATCCTTTAATTTTAACATAGAGTTGCTCTTTCTCATCATCCCCCAAAGCAGTCCAGTCAGAAGGAGTGGCGCCACTACACTTAAGATCATAAGGAAGCTGAATATTTAAATAGTCCAATTCTCCGACGTAAAGAAAACCCGGCGGATCTGATCTAAATTTCACCGGTGTACCATAAACAGAAGAATTTGAATTTTGGATAACAGATAAAGGACAGGTTTCGTTTCCTGTACGGCTAATGCCTAGACCACCCCCACCGTTTATACTTGCTTCGTGCGGAATAAGAAAGTAATAGGCAGAAGAATACAGAACAGAATTACCCTTCATGTCTAGCACATCCGCGGTGCTTGAAGGAAGGTACGAGGTGAAGGCAGAAAGTAGAAAGAGAACGAAGAAGGTGGTAGTACGCATCTCCATTTCTTATGAGAGGCTTGTTGTGAATAACCAACCTAGGAAGAATCTATTTATGGACTGCCTGTAGTAAAGTGAGTCGTAGATTAATATGGAAATGGTGAATAGTATATTATGAGTTTAATATATTTTTCTCAAATCATAAAAATAGTAAATATAATTATTTTAATTCAATTACGTTGAATTTGTTTTGAGCTATTAAACATGTTTTAAGATAATATTTGAATTGTTTACGGATACATTTATGTTCTATGTTAACTCGTAAACACATTTAACATGTCAAAAAATTTAATATAATTTTATTAAAAAGACTATACTTATTTATTTTTAAAAACTAAAATATATTCTGACATAAATAAATTTTAATTTTAAGTCAAAATTTAATGACTAAAAATGATATTTAATCTATCATTGATGATACGAGACTGAATAATTAACTTATTATAGTAAGTGTGCATACTTAAAAAATTTTACATATATTTTTATTCTCTTTAAGTGAAAACTGGAATTAATCTATTTTTAAAATTTAGTCTAATTTAATCTCTCAACTTTATAAATAATGGATTTAATTTTTTTAAGTTTATTTTTAAAGTTATAAGATTAAATTAAATCAAAATCCAAAAGTAAATTAACTTTAATTTTTAGTAATAAAAGTTAAAAACTAAAAACATACTGAAAAACAATGATATCACGAGAAAATAAAAGAAAAGAATATATACGGATAAATTTTATGGGTTGTGAAACGAAAATGTTTAAAGAAATATCTATATGATCGAGTATGACTTTGAATATAATATATTCTATTATAAACGTAACGGATTATTTTTAAAATTATTTTATTGTTTATATTTATGTGTAAAAATGTCATAATAATTATATTATAATACCATATTATATATAAAAGAGTTAAAATTTTAGTATAAAAACATAATATAATATTTATCTATAATAAAATTATGAAAATAAAAAGTAAAAAATATAATTATTTTGAATTCTGGTATTTTATAAAATAACTTTAATATACTGTTATTTTAAATCATTTTATTTATTTATTAACATTTTTTCAGTTTTACTTTAAACTTACCTCTTTGTATTTTAAAAATAGTTTTCTTTTTATCAAATTATATTTAAGAAAATTATTTATTGATCATATACTTTTAAAAATTATTTTACAAACTATTTTAAGTTCATTGAGTTCACGTTATGAAGAATTATAATAGTTTCATTCACTAAAAAAACCTTTAATAGTATATTAACATTAAATGATAAGAACAATTATAGATTGTAGTTGAGTGATTTTTTTTGGAATTTGATGTCACAAAATTCTTAACGAAATTCCTAAAACACAAATTATGATAAAAAAGAACTAAAAAACAAATTAACTAAATTAAAATAGGTAAAAAAAATAAGATAAAAACAAGTGATAAAAAAATAGAAAAAATAAAAATGTTAGTGAAAAATTAAGAACCAAAATGATAAAATTTTTAGTTGTGTTTCCTTGTAGCGATGCCAAATTTGATAATACCATCAAACACAAAATTGACTCTTAACAAATTAATTCTTATAAAAATTATAACAACGGATTGGTAAAATATAAACAATAAAGAAGATAAAGGTAAATAAAAGATTAGATAAAATAAAAAGATATAAAGAAATAAATTTATAAGAAGATTTAAAAATATATAAACAATGACAAAGAAAATAGATTGGTTGCACTTTTTTTTCAAAATAAGATTTGTTTCGGTAGAATAGTTGAGGCCGAGATACGAGCGTACTGAATCGCCTCCGCTCCTTCCAGTGATACTGTTACTGTCGCGTCTCCTTCCTGTGTAAAGCTCTTTGGGGGAAAATGAGCTGGGTACCTGCAACGGCACTCCGACGCTCAAGTCAGAAAAGGGTTATGGAGCCTCAGCTCTCAAGAGAGTGATTATAATATCACCCTAGAATATCATCTAGAGTCTCTAGAACGTAGAGGGAACGTACTTGGACTTTTGCCCTGTCATTGTATTTATAGGCCAATAAAAATAACCTTACCTAAAAATGTGGTTAGTTACTCATAAATATCTTAACCGCTTAAAATATCTAAGATATTTTATCCAATAAATATCTTACTATACATAATGTCCCCCAAGTCCGAGTTAACTGTTCTGTTTTATGTACGGGTAACTATAGGACTTATGAGTTTGAGGGAGACTGTATTCGCTGTGTTAGAGAGCGTGTTTCTGGTCGTTGCTCATCTGTGACGGGGGGTTTTATGGGTTTTCTCTTTGCCCTAGGCCGAGCAGTTGAACTTTTTAACACCTGAGGCCAAGGATGACCGAGCGGTTGTAGTCGAAGGACCAAAAAGATGAGAGGCCGAACGGCCAAAAGTTGGAACGTTTGAGGCCGCGAAGGCCGAATGATTAACGATTGAATATTTGAACACGTGAGCCCATGTATGGACGAGCGGTAGATGATGTGTGGCCGAACGTCAGTGAGGCTGAATGCTGGAACGCTTGAGGCCACGGATGGCCGAGCGGTAGAGGCCGAGTTGCTGCCAGGTTCATAATAGGGAGACTGACTCTATGTTTGCGTGGGCTAGGTGTTCTTGGGCGAATGTAACCTAGACTAAGGGAAGATCCCATAGATTTAATTTTTTGGGTGGCTCCGACCTTGCCAGTGGTGTGCACGATTGGGTTAATTGATGAAGGCATGGGTATCTAACCCTTAAAAATAGGGTTCGTGAGAAATGATTTCGTGAGTCACTGTCACGGAAGTTGAATTGCTCGTCGTAGGGGTTGCCATTGTAAATGCGAAAATCGTGGTTATTGGCGAAGACGCAAACCTGGGCGTGGCGGATGACACGAAGACTGTACTGGACGGTGCTGGAGGGTGACGTGAGGCTGGACCGGATGAAAAACCTCCACAACAGAGAATTAATCATCTCATCAGAGATTCACTCGCCAACACTAAGTTGTCGATCATGTTGGTGATTAAGCAGTGGTGTCTGGAGTTTGACGTTTGGGGAATAGAAATTGGGTTGGATGTCGTGAGTGCTGCGGAAGACGCGGAGGATGGGTCGGACAATGCGGCGGACTTGGAGGCGTCGAAAGGGTATGTCTCTGGGTGACAACCGTCTTCTCCCTAAGAAATGGGGATGCGACTGATAAGGGCATCCAGGGTATTTCCTCAAACTGCAGATTGACTTTTGTTATGAGCTCTGTTTTGGTCACCGAGGAGGTACCAGGGTGACTTGAAATGCTGAGAAGCATCATGAACTTGCTGATGAAACTTCATGTAGAGATGATGACTTTTTTGCTGTAGTTTTTGCCTTGCTGTAGATTCTTGATGTTGATCCGAAATAACGATGTCGAGACCGAGCGCTCGTCCTGGCTCCTTGCAGTATCAATGGGATGACGCTCGGCCCCACGGTGGGCGCCAAAATGTTTCGGTAGAATAGTTGAGGCCGAGATACGAGCGTACTGAATCGCCTCCGCTCCTTCCAGTGATACTGTTACTGTCGCGTCTCCTTCCTGTGTAAAGCTCTTTGGGGGAAATGAGCTGGGTACCTGCAAAGGCACTCCGACGCTCAAGTCAGAAAAGGGTTATGGAGCCTCAGTTCTCAAGAGAGTGATTATAATATCACCCTAGAATATCATCTAGAGTCTCTAGAACGTAGAGGGAACGTACCTGGACTTTTGCCCTGTCATTGTATTTATAGGCCAATAAAAATAACCTTACCTAAAAATGTGGTTAGTTACTCATAAATATCTTAACTGCTTAAAATGTCTAAGATATTTTATCCAATAAATATCTTACTATACAAGATTCATCATTGGTTATCTAAATATTATTGTTTAATTGATTATTGTATTAGATTTTCAAATAAATCAATTTAATTTTTTAATTAATTGGTTGGCGTTCTCACAATTAATCAAAATAAAGTTTCTAACTTTAATCAAAGTAAATTTTCAATAAAACCTTGGATTCACATGATTGATATGTTATGTAGATTTAACATCATACTAACTTGCTACAAATGTAAAAATCATTACTTTCACTTGATTAAGAGAAAAAATACATAGAAAAATATAAATCACAACAAGAATTAAGAGAACAAAAAAGTTTATTCATCTAACCTAAAATCTACTTAAGAAACTACAACAAAATCAACCATCGAGGCTTAACACTCCATAAAATGTAAAAATAACATAAAAATATAAGAAGAGAGAGTGGAAAACATGAGAGAAGAGAGAAAGGATGAAATTGGAAGCCCTAAGGATTCCTCAACTCGCCTAATGTGTTTCCTTAAGTCTCTATATAAAAATTCGGTTAAACTTTGTTTAAGGTTTTTTTCGTTGTTGTAATATTCTTTATGATGATGTAATCTCTTCCAATTATCTCTAATTAATCCAATATCTTTAAGATATATTTGATTGTTGTGGAGATCTAAAAAAATTTGAGAAAATATTTGCTAGATTAAAAAAATTGTAAATATTATCTTTTGATATTTACTGATATAGTCAAATAATGTAATTATTTAATAATATCAAATAAAATATCTTAAGATATATTTTCCCAAAATTATATTTTATCATAAACATTTATCATTTATTAATTATCAAATTCTTTCATAGAAAAAATAGAGAAAATTGCAAGATCCAATTTTATTTGCTCCTTCCATCTCTTGGTTTAGCCAATTTTGTTCACTTTTTTCATGTTTTTCTTGTCTTCTTCATCCATGTTTGACTTGACTTCTTGTGGTTTTAATTATTTTCTATTATTCATGAAATTTTAACCAGTTTATTTCCACACTTCACTAAGCTCAACTTAGTTGCAAATGTTGCAAATGTAAGCACATCAAAATATTTAATAAATATTTATGTAATTAAAAAATTATTTTTATCATTTTTTTATCTCATGCTTAATAAATTCAACTATAGCAAATAATAATTAAAATATTCTTTTAAAATAAAAAACTAATTCAAAATCCAAAGTTAAAGACTAAATAATGGCGTAAATATGCC